AAAATATTAGGGCTGGGGGTTTAGCTCAGCGGCATAAGCACCTGCTTTGCAAGCAGGCGGTCGTGAGTTCGATCCCCGGTACCAATAAAAATGAAAAAGACAAAAAAAAAAAAAAAAAAAAAAAAGAAGAAAATATTAAAAGCAGCTACAAAAAAGAAACAGAACACCTATAAAGGAAAGCCTATCACCTCTAAAGGAATCACAGGATATGTTCAACACAAACCATCAAGTCAAGAAGAGCATGAATTAAACTATTTCAAGTACTCAAAGAAAACTTCCAACCCAGATTGATGTACCCTGCAAAACTATCTTTCAAAATTGTGGTGAAGTAAGATACTTTCACAACAAAAGAACTGAAGAAATTCATGACCATCCAACCAACCCTACAAAGAGTACATTCTAGAAGGGCATAAAAATGATCATAATTCCAAAAACAGTAACAGAAAGAAACCAAGAAGCAGGACATGCAGTTAAACAGGGAACCATGAAAGATATCATGACAAAGATAAGCCAATATATACAACCACTAATGAAACGGCCTCAATTTACCAATCAAAAGAAACAGACTGACAGAGTGGATCAAGAAACAAAATCCAACAATATGCTGTACACAAGAAACACAGTTAAAAGGAAATTTATAGACTAAAAGTCAAAGGATGGGAAACATTACTCCATGCTACAGGAACCCAGAAAAAAGCAGGGCTAGCTCTTCTGTTTGCAGACAATGTGAACTTCAAGCCAAGAATGATCAAAAGATCAAGATCACTACATACTTGTTAGGGAAAATCTTCAAGAGCAAGAAACAACAATCTTGAATATATATGCACCAAATATGGGAGAACCCAACTATGTAAGACAAGTATGTATAGGCATGGGAAATGTTATAATAATACAGTTATAATGTGAGACCTTAACATTCCATTGTCACAAAGAGGTCAATGAAATAAAGAGCAAAGAAATAACAGAACTGAATCAAACTTGTGAACAAATGGGCTTAGTAAATGTGTACAGTGTTCCACCAAGCCACATCAGAATACACATTCTTCTCAGCTGCACATGGGACATTCTCTAAAATTGACCATATACTAGCCCATAGAACATGCTTAAGTAAATTATTTCATGTATATTTTATGACTATAATGCCCTGAAATTGGAAATTAATGACAAAAGAAACCACAAAAGCTTCATAAACACATGGGAATTAAATAGCACCATACTGAACAACCAAAGAATCACACAAGAAATTAAAGAAGAAATTAAACAATATATACAGTCAAACAAAAATGCAAATACAGCTTACAGGAACTTGTGATATGCAATGAAAGCAGTCCTTGGAGGGAAATTTATAGTGGTGAACTGCCACATCAGGAAAATGGAACAAGCACAAATAACCTAATGCTGCACTTCAGACTTCTAGAAAGACTAAGTCAAGCCCAAAGCCCAAAGATCAGAGGAAATCAGTGTGGAGGTTTCTCAGAAAACTAGGATTGAAGGTCTTATTTGACCCAGCTATTCCCCTTTTGGGCACTTTTCCAGATATATTGAAAACATCAATACCATAGATATATATATATATATGCACCCATGTTTATAGCTTCATAACTTATAATAGCTACACCTTGGAAACAACCCAAATGTTCATCAGTTGAGGAATGGATAAAAAAAGATGTGGTATTTTTATGCAACAGAGTACTTCTCAGCCATTAAGAATGATAAACGAGGGGCTTTTATAGGTAAATAGATGCAAATAGAAAACACTCACAAGTGAAATAAAGCAGACTTGCATGTGTAAACACCATACTGTCTTGCTAGTGTAAGACACTAAAAGAGTAAATAAGATCCAAAAGTTACAATAGATATAATAAAAGAGAAAGAAACTGCTCAAAGGAAGATACCATATCTGGTAGCCTGAGAAATTATTTTGAAGGTAACAATATGCAATATAACAACCATTGTTAAATTTCTATCATTGTTTTGAAATCCTGTACCATTGTTTGTTGTTATTATTTTGTTTTTTGTTTGTTTGCTTCCTGATTTTTATGTTTCTTTCTCTATAAATAAATAAAAATTTTAAAAAGAGGGACTGAGTTCCCAGGGACAGTATGACCCAAGCACTTGCTTGCAACTGGAGAGGAGGATCATTCTCCTATCTGCCAAATGCCAGACTTGTGAGTGGGCCAGTGGGACAGCTCACTCAACTTGTAGGTTTTGAACAGAGGGAAAAATAATTTTCATGTTTCTTGTACCTTTTTTCCCCCCAATAACAAAAAAGGAAGCCAGAGAAGCAATATAGTAGAGATGTCAGTAGTCACAAGAGATGATCTTTTCACAAGCTTCCTGGATTGAGAGTGTCTGCTGGTTTTCTCCATTGTAGTTTCTCTTTTCTTCTTTGCAACATCAATACAGGCCAGGCTGTTCCCAGCACTGCACAGTACCCTGAGTACTGACCAGCACCTAGTCCTCATCTCTGCTCAGTGGTCCACATGGCAAGCACGCAAAGCTCAGAAGTTCGGCTGTTCTCACTGCAGGGAACTGCTGGTAGCTGAAGGACTGCTAGCAGCAGTGGCTTGAATTTCAAGGGCACAACTTGTGAACTCCTCTGCAAATGCCAAGGTACCTTGGGGAGGTTGCTGGGGTCAGCCTGAGACAACCAGCCTGGAGTCTTCCCATCTTTTGAATCCAGCAGGACAGGAGCATTGAGCTATTTGAGGAGACATGGAAGAAGAGTCAGATATCAGGGAAGGTGGGCAAGTTAAATGAATGGTGTCAGGAGATAAGGGTGGTATGGTCAGATAGATAGATACTCAGTCCAGCTGGTAGCTTGACTCAGAGATACAGCTCCAGCAACTTAATTTTCATAGGCCACAAAGCAGTATCTAGCCAGCCCTTCAGCATCACAGCCAGTCAACCAACCTCTTGGCCAGACAGACTTACAGATGGACAGACATAACCCAGAGCAACAGACTCCCAGCTGGACAATCAGCCAGACAAATGGGCAGATTCTTGGACACATGGAAGACATACGTCCCCACTACCACTACCACCACAGCCAAAGAGACCTGTGCCAGTAAGAAATATCAACCTCTTCCAAGGATGACTGGAAATTGGACCCCATATTCCAAGTAGATGACAGAATCCCTTCCCAGTTGACACAGAGAGGTTGTTAGCTCAGTGGAGTGACAGCTAACCCACCTGGCAGCCTTCAGCTGGACAGACAGACTTATCCTCCACCCAGAAGATACAGTGCAGCCTATGAGGAAGATATCCTAAGCTGAAGCTCGCCTTCTGGGCATCTCCTCACCAGCCTGTACAGTCAGACAGGCAGACTTAACTCAGCTCCTGCCAAGAAGGAAGAACCCCAGCTAGCAAGGCAGAGACCCTAGTTGAGGGATCAGCCATCTTATCCTTGCTACCACCATAGATGGCCCAGTGACCCTGCAATGCTGCCACTGCTCCTACTCACCACTGAAGCCCAGTGACCATTAGCCTGTAGTGACATCCACTAACGTCACAGTCCAGAGACCTTGCCTGATCCTTCGGTGACTTCCCCATTCTTTGGGCATCCCTGCCCACAATGACTGCCATTAGCAGTTCAAGGATTCAGAGAGCCTCCATGACTCCCTCAACAAACTTCTGTTTTTCACAGATCCATGGACACTTCTCTAATGCCACCTCCTGAGTCTTCAAAAATCATGCCGCTTCACAAAACATCAGCGATGATTCCACTGGTATTCATTGTCCAACAAGCCCTTCTAAGCACTAAATCCTAATAACCCCTTAATTATTTTTCCTGTCTTTCACTGACCTCCCAAAGATTATCATAAATATCCACTGACACCAACTGAATGAATATTGCTGACCCCACTGGAACAAACAAGTGTTTACTGTCACTCTCTCTGACCCTAATATATGCAAAACACTCCCAGTTGTTTGACCCTGCTCACCAACTTCAATATCTGTAACTGATAGTCTGCAGGACAAAAAAAAAAAAAAAAATTGTGATAGGAAAATTGTATGAAATTCAAAGTTCAGTGTCCATCAAGTTTTATTTGAATACAGAAACCATATTGTCTGGCTACTGTGGTGTCATGCCATCAGAATGAAGTAGCTGAGACAGAAACCCTACACAGCGAAGCTGAAACCACTTCCTTGCTAGGTTTTTTAAAATAAAAGTGGCCACCCCTAATTTAAACACTCTAATGACCCCTAATAAATTAGCATCTTAGCATTGACCCTGTTGACCTTCCAGTGACTTGAGGTACAACTCTAGACACAGGTGTTACCTGTCCACACTATGATCTCACACTGGTGTCCACCTGACAGTCTCTTCAATGAGAATCTACTCTGACGCCAGTGAGCAGGGTTAACCCATGACACAGGCCTGTCCTTGACAAATCCTCAACACCTCCCCCCAGTGCTGCAACTCTCTCACCAGGTCCTCAGAGTTGGGACAGCAGTTGTCCTCTGATCTGCAAATTTTCTGGACGTGAGAGCCGAAAAAGAAGCCCGTTAAAAGTGTTGAGAACACCTCGAAAGCCCTTTAAAAGTGTTGAGAACACCCGGAAACTGAGGACTGAGCTCCTTAAAACCAACAAGATCCTGGCGTAAGAAGCACCTCAGTTAATCCCGAAAAAAAGACGACTTTAGGAAACGCACAGATGCAGATGCTTCGGCATCTGCTCTGTCTTTACAAAGCAAGGAGTGGCAGAGTAGCACTCTTTTTCTCTCTCCGCTAACCTCTCCTGGGACTCTCCTCTGATCCAGCTGCAGCGCAGAGCGCGGGACACCCTAAGGAGAGGTCCCGGGGCAGAAGGAGCCCTCGGACTGCTGTGCACTGCCTGAGTTCACGCGAGCTGGCCAAGGTTGGCCAGCGAGGGGCACAGTAATCCACCCCAGGCGGATTACTCCCTGGGAGGTCCGCCGGGCGCTGGCACTGGCCGGATCGGGGGCGGGTCCGAGAGGATGCAAGACGTTGGGGGTTGGGACGTTGGATGGGGGACTTTGCGGGTTCAACCAACAAGGCACAGCATCGCGAAACAAAACCAAGAGAACAAGGAAGCACCCGCGCCCGATTTGCTTGTCTGTTGAGACGCAGCTCTGCGGAGCCCTTGCGGCCCGGAGCCGGCTGTGGGCCGGGCCAGACGAGCTCCGACGCGACTGGCCGGGAGCCTGTGGCCTCATCGTGTCCGGGAAGGCCGGCCTGAGCGCATTCGCCCCCGCCGCGTTCTCGACGTCCTCGCACCTGGACGGCTCAGCGCTGCGCCATGGCCCGTGGCCTGGACGCGGCGCGCAGCTTTTTGGAGCGGCTGGAGGCGCGTGGCGGCCCGGAGGGGATGGCTCTGGCTCGCGAGTTCAGCGTGAGTGACCCGGCGGGCCGGGTCCTTTCCCTTGGCGCGACCGGACGCTGCCCGCTTCCCTGCTTGTCCTCGGTTTCCCCGCCCTAGGGCCCCTCTCCCGCCCCATCCCCGCACTTCACGTCCTCTCTTGCGCGGTCTTGTCCTCCCCTCAGCCGGCAGGGCCCTCGAGGGACAAATCCCGCCGGCTGAAGGGTCTTCGGGAGCCCCGGGACGACCCTTTGCCGGCAGAAGGGCGCAGCTGGGACAGGGGGTGGGGGTAAGCAAGGACAAGTCCTCTTGGCCCCGGGCGACCTAGGAGACCCTGCGTTCCCAGAAACGGGGCCGGACGCAGGGAAGAGAGGACCCGTGAGCCTGCAATGCCAGGGTAAGGACGGCTTCGGGTCAGCACTCAGACTGTGACTCGGGGCGGTTTACAACCCCGCCTGGCCTCAGTTTCCCAAAAAAATTGGGCAGGGGATTTAGTCTCACCTATTCTAGCACTTGCCTGATCAATGTGAGGTAGTGAGTTCAATTCCCGGTACAAAAAAAAAAAAAAAGTTAATGACCCAACTAGCCCGAGTGTACGCGCATGGGGGGGGGGTGTAAAAAGGCATTGGCACACACTTCGTAGATGTCATTGTCACCACTTACAAAGATTCTAGGCATTGCAGTAGTAGTACAAGCTAAACCCAATGAATGCTAGTGTAGCTCCAAGGCGCAGCATCCTACAGGTAACGAAATAATTATAATTTAATGACACATGTACCAAATATAGAAACATGCTATTCACATATGTAAACTATGTATAAAATATTTCAGAAATATGATATTACTATAGAAACATAAATGTGATTTTATTTTGTTTATTGTTTTGTCTTTTTGAGACAGGGTCTCTTTCAGTTATGCAGTTCAGGGTGGCCTTGAGTTCATTTGGTAGCCCAGGCTGGTCTCGACCTTGTAACACTCTTTCTGCCCAGCTTCCCGAGATAAATGTGATTTTAAATGACAACTTACCCAAAAGACTAAATAAAACAATATGGTAGCATATAAATTAAAAAGCTATGGTTGTTCTGTAAGCTCACAATCATAAAATAGCACAGATAAATATAAAACTAAATGTAGACTAAAAGTTTTTTTTTTTTTTTAAACTTTTTATCGGTACCGGGGATCGAACTCACGACCGCCTGCTTGCAAGGCAGGCGCTTATGCCGCTGAGCTAAATCCCCAGCCGCAATATAAAACTAAATGTACACATGAAATATTGTAACTTATAAATTATAAATCCATAATAAGTGTGAAATATACAACTTATAAATAAGATGTCCAGAGCTGCAGGAGTACCAAGCAGGATGTGAAGATTTGGTCTCTGACTGGCACTGGACCCCTATTGGGAATGTCAGATGGAGCGCGCCCTCTGCCGCGCGGTCAGCGCCTTGCGCACTGGTCCGGGGTTTCTCAGAAGGAAGGCGGTGCGCAAACGTGCCAGCGTCTGCGGAGGTTCCAAAGATCGCGTGGACAGCAGTGAAGGGCTTGGAACTGCGACCCGCACAGGATGGCTCCTTGACAGGTCTTCTTGATGATCTCTGTGGTTGTGACTTCCTGATGACGACAGTAATGGACTTCGGTCATCATGAATCGCCTTCCAGTAACAAAGTACCTGCGCTGTCTTGTTACAGCAGTAATGGGTTACACGTTTTAACTCCGTGTATTACATATCGCTGTCATTTGTTTTGTTATATAAATAATACACCACACACACTACCACTGAGCTGCACTCTCAGCCCTTGTTTAATTATTGTTTACAATACAATGTAGCAAGAATTCAGAGTGTAGGGGACAGGTACTAACAGGTCTCGGGTCTACTTTCATTCCGATGCTTACTGGATGGAACCTTTGGCAGATCTCCTAATCTCGTGTTCCAACCACCTTCTGCCCGAGCAGGGAGCACGTCAGGAATGGTGCTTGCTTCTGTGGGGTCGTGCGATGGTTCCACACCCGTAGCACAGAGCCCAAGTGCGGATCAGCTGTGCGCTGTGGGAATCTGCTCTGACCTCCTGGAATGTGTGTTTCGCACTCTCAGTGTCCTAGACTCTTACTCGGTGCCTGCTTGCTCACTTTGCCTCTCTCTAGGATATCCGTGCCTGCTTTGACGCCTGGAAGACTGACAACGTGTGCTCCACAGAGGCTGGCAGTGTCTCCAAGAATGTGGGGAAGAACCGCTACAAAGACGTGGTGCCCTGTGAGTCACAGGCTCAGAAGAAGCACGCGTCTCTGTGCACGCGCCCAGCGCACCGCCCCTGTGCTTTCTCCGGCCAGTTTTCACGCCCTTTTCACCCCAAACTCTAAATCTCTCACTTTACCTGCTGGCAGATGATCAGACACGAGCGATTCTCTCCCTGCTTCAGGAGGAGGGACATGGTGACTACATCAATGGCAATTTCATTCGGGTCAGGCCAGTGGTCAGGGAAGGGGAGGACTGGGGCGCGAAGAGTGGGCGGTGGAATCTTTATAGTCAGTGGGTCTTTCTCAGGGCGCAGACGGAAGCCAGGCCTACATCGCCACACAAGGACCCCTGCCGCATACCTTGATAGACTTCTGGCGCCTGGTCTGGGAGTTTAGGGTCAAGGTCAGATTTGGGGGAGAGAGGGGGCACAATTTCCAGTCTGCCCTTGGCCCTGTTTTCTCTAACCCCCGTTGCCGCCTCCCCTAGGTGATTCTGATGGCATGTGGAGAGACAGAGAATGGGCGGGTAGGTGCCCTCCTCCATGCTGTGGCTGGTGCTGAGGAGGGAGAAGGAATCTCGCTATCTCCTCCCTGACCTTAAGACCTGAAAGCTCAGTTCCCAGAGTGGTGTCACTGTGGTTCTGTGGGAAACCACTATTCCTCTTGAATTTTGCCTCAATCTTTTTCCTTTTGTTAATGGGGCTTATTCCCTGCCTCCTTGCTGGGGTTCATATGCAAGATGCACTGCAGTGCATAAAGCCCTACCGACTGGTTACCCCTCTCTGTAACCTTTCCATCTCCGACTTCCCTGTAACCATGCTGGTGTCTGCTAGTCCTCAGCACTGCCAGTGAGCACCCTATTTCAAGGCTTGAGTCTTGCCCTTTGCTTGGGACCTTACTCCCCATGGCTCCTGCTACTGGCTCCTTCTGGTCTTTACGTCCTCTATGAGACCTTCCAGGAGCCTCCTAGCTCTCAGACTCTCACCACACCTACACTTCTCCTACTTCCCTGGTTTTCTTCAAAGTTCTTATGAACTTGTAACCTATTAGATCATTCTCAATTGAAATACACCCCATACACACTATTATTTTTACTTTTTATTGTCTTTTAAAGAGAAAAACAAAATTTCAAAATACAACAATTGGGGATAACAATAGCATATACATTGCTTATTGTTATCTTACATTGGTTACTCAGAGTACAAGACATCTGCGTTTAATCATCTGAACAATACTAGCACAAACCTTTCTCTTCCATGAGCTCAGAGAAATCAGTAGTATAACTATCTTAATTATCTTTTATGTGTATAGTTTCTTTCAGTTTCTCACACCAGTGAGACAATACTGTATTTAGACATGTGTCTGATTTATTTCACTAATGAGTATGGTCTCAAGTTGCAGCCATTATCTATAAAAGTCTCCAGTTTATCCTTTATAGCTGAGTAGTTCTCCACTGTATAAAAATACCGTATCTTTTTTACCCATTCCTCAGTTGCTGGGCATTAGGTTGTTGTTTCCAAGACGTAGCTATGCAAATTGTGCTGCTTATAAATGTGTGTTCACATATATTGCTGTGGTATAATGTTTTTAATTCTTTTAGGAAGATACTCGGAAGAGGAATAGCTGTCAATGTGACCTTTAATCCTAGTTATCCTGTTGTGTTTTGTTTTTTTTGCTTGTTTGGTACCAGGGATTGAACTCATGACCTTCCACTTGCCAGGCAGGGGCTTAGGTCACTGAATTAAATCTGTGGCTAATTGTAGATTTTTGAGGAATCTTCACACTAATTTCCACAGTGGTTACACCAGTCTACACTCCCACCAACAGTGGAGAAGGGTTCTTTTTTCCCCATACCTCTCCAGCGTTTGTTACCACTTGATTTCTTAATAATAGTCATTCTTACTGAGGTAAGGTAGAATCTCAGTGTCTTTTGAATTTGAATATCTCTTGTGACCAATGATGTTGAACACTTTCACATATTTATTTGCTGTTTGAATTTCTTTATCTGAGAAGTGTGTATGCATCTCAGCTGTCCATGTCTGGACTGTTTCTTTAAATCTGGAAGCACTGATTTTTTTGAGTTCTTTATATGCTCTCAATAGTAATCCTTTGTCCGAGGTATAGCTGGCAAACATTTTCTCCCACATTGTGGGTTGTCTGTTCACTCTGTTGGTGGTTTCTCTTGCTGTGCAAAAGCTTTTCAGTCGGGTGAGATCCCAGTTGTCGATTATTTGTGATAGTGCCTGTGCAATTGGGGTTTTGTTCATAAAGTCTTTACCTATACCTATTTCTTCAAGAGTTTTACCTACTCTATAATTTACTTCCAGTAAATTGGTCTGTTTTAATATTCAGATCTTTGATCCATTCCATCTTTAGTGCATGGTCAAAGATATGGATCCAAGTTTAATATTCAACAGATGCAGAGCCGGTTTTTCCAGCTCCATTTATCAAAGAGGCTATCTTTACTCTAGTGAATGTGTTTAGCACCTTTGTCAAAGATAAGGTGGCTTAGTGTGTCTGCAGTTGTTTGTTCATCTTCTAATCTGTTCTACTGGTCTTCTCATCTGTTTTTTTTTCCAGTACCAGACTTTTTTTTTTTTTTTATCACAGTAGCTTTATAGTATAATTTCAAGTCAGGAATAGTAATGTCCCCTGTCTTGCCTTTGTTGCCCAGGATTGCCTTTGCTATACTAGGTGTCTTCTGGTTCCAGATGAATTTTAGGGTTATTTTCTCTAATTCTGTGAGCTAAGTTATTAGAATTTTGATTGGGATTGCATTAAAGCTGTTATAACAATTTTAGAAGCCATTTTAACTATATAGGTTTCTCCTACCCAAGACTATGGGTTATCTCTAATATCTCTAATTTTCTAATATCCTCTTAGGTCTTTTACATCCTTTGTTAAATTCATTCCTAGGTATTTCATGTTTTGGGGTGTTATTGTAAAAGGTGTTATTTCCCCAATTTCTCTCTCAGTGAGTTTGTTATTCATGTACAGGAAGGCTATTGACTGTTGAGTGTTGACTTTGTATTCAGCTACGTTACTGAATTTTCTTATTAAATATGCCAGTTCTTAGTGGAGTTTTTGGTATCTTTTAAGTAGAGTATTATATCATCTGAAAATAACAATAGTTTAACTTCTTCCTTTGCTATCTTTTATTTCTTTCTCATCTAATTTCTGTGTCTAGAGTTTCCAAGAATACTTTGAAGAAGAGTGGAGACAGTGGAAATCCTTGTCTTGTTCCCAATTTTACAGTGAAAGCTTTCAGTTTTTGTCTGTTTACTATGATGGCTGTTAGTTTATCATAGATAACTTTTATCAGATTGAGATAAAGACCATCTATTCCAATTTCTGTAGGATTTTTTTTTTTATTATGAATGGACTTTGTCAGAAGTTTTTTCTGTATCTATTGAGATGACTGATTTTTTACCTTGGCTCAGTTAATATGGTATATTACATTTATTGATTTACATATGTGAACCATCCCTGTATCCCTAGGATGAATCCCACTTGATCATGGTGTGCAATCTTTTTAATTATTTGCTGCATTCTGTTTGCCAGTATCTTATTAAGGATTTTTGCTTCTATGTTCATTAGGCAGATTGGTCTGCAATTTCCTTTTTTAGGTTAATCCTTTTTTGTTTTTGGTAACAGGGTAATGCTTGTGTCCAGGAATAAATTTGGAAATATTGTTTCCCTTTCAATTTCATTAAAGACTTTGATAGTGTACACCTGAAATCAATCTCAGCACCAAGAGGCGGAAGCAGAAGGATCGTTGTGAGTTTGAGACCAGCCTGGGCTACAAAGAGAGCTCAAGGCCAGCCTGAACTGCATAGTTAGATGATGTCTCAAAAAGACCAAAAATATATATATATATATATTGAGAAGTAGTAGTGTTAGATTTTTCTCTAGATTTCTTGTAGAATTCAGCAGTGACTCCATAAGGGCCTGGCTTTTCTTTGTTGATAGGTTTTCAATTTCATCTACAATTTCATCAATTGAATTCATATATTTAGGATGTTTATATCTTCTTGATTCAACTTTGGTAATTCATATGTATCTAGGAATCTGTCCATTTCTTTTGTGTTTTCCATCTTGTTAGAATATAAGATTTCCAAGTAGGTAGCAGTGGAAGCTAGAAAGTCTATGTCAGCAGGGTGAAGGAGCTGTGCTGATAGGTTGAGGGTTCTACACTGAGGCCTAGAAGTCACACTCACAACAAAGGCCAGGGCTGTCCTGAAGAGCACCACAGCCATCTTCAGTGACACAGAGGCCCCAAGCTCCTCCGACAACAAGCACAGTCGAGTACATGCAGGAAGCCAGTGTGACAAGTTCATCCTGGAGACCAAGCAGCACATATCTTCCCCTCTGGAGCCAGGAAACAATGCTCAATGTGAGAACCAAAGCTTCTCCAGGAGAACCAATGACTCAAACAACACGTAGGAGAACCCACAATGTCTTAACGCCTCAATGCACCTCAATGCATCTACTTCTCTATATCTCTATTTATGCTGGCAACTTTCCTCAGGTGAAACATATATGCTCAGCAGCATGATGATTTAATTTCACTGGCATTAAGTTGCTCACCAGTTTTTAATCCATAACATCTGAGCTTTTTTTTTTTTTTTTTTTGCCTGTGTCTGCGGTAGTGTCATTAAGCATGGTCTTTACTTTGTATATCATCTCTGTAGTTATCTGAGAGATTATTTCTGGTTTCATTTTTTTCCTGAACATCATTCAATTGCTTCATTGTTACCCGGTGGGAGGCTTTCTGATTGTGTCACCTCACTGCCCCCTGGAATTGCCTTTGGTGAACTCAATGTCTGGTTACATTTTTTTTGTCTTCTCATTCTCTTTTCTTTCTTTCCTTTTTGAAGTTTCATTCCTGGGGTGATGCTTGTAAACTGCCTATGTTGGGTTGCTTTATTGTTCATATTTAAGATTCTTAGTGATGACTATTTCTCTGAGCTATCTTCCAGGTACAGCTGGGTTTTGGGCTTTGAGTCTGTTGGAAGATCTTACCTTTTCAGTTTGATGGAGATGGGAAGTTGTTGCTTGTTTGGCCCAGTCCTTAGTTCTTTGGCATGGTGCCACAGTACTTCCTGTGAACATTAGTCAGTGTTGGTCATGGAATACCAGGACCAACAGCTGTTCAGAACAATTATGTAAATTTTGGTTATACTGAGATCAATAGTATCAAACAGCCTACAAAATGCCAGGCTGAGATAACCCTTAATTTACCAATTAACTGTATAAACTAGATTTTTGTTATACAACATCTAAAACAAACCAGAAAAATATATGCAGTATGTAATGATATGTCAATTCATATGTCAATTTTGCACTCAGGAGTTAAATTTTAATATAGTTTAAATAGAAAATAGAGAATTGAGAAAAGGGGAAGAGATTAGAAGTAAGGAGGACCAAGGGAGTTTGTGCTAATTTTGGGAGGTTGGTATAGAAGACTGGAGGGACAGCAAAGGAAGAGATGTAAAAAACAGAACAGAGCCACAGGGAGGCCAGAAA